ATTAACGAAGCAACAGTGAATATTAACGAAGCAACTGTGAAAATTAACGAAGCAACAGTGAAAATTAACGACGCAACTGTGAATATTAAAGAAACAACAGTGAATATTAACAAAGCAACAGTGAAAATTAACGAAGCAACAGTGAATATTGCTGTAAGTTAAAAACAACAGTAGCTGATATTTTCCTCTCCTAAATGTTAGTATTAAAGTATTTTGAATTTACAAATATCGTTACGTTTCATGGTTATTATAGATATTATAAGTTATTCTGGTGGTGTTGATGCACAGTTGAAATAGATTAATGATGCAGCAACGTGTAAAAAACACAAAAATGTGTAGAAGTATTGTGTGTGTGCTGCAAGAGACAACCATTAACACAAGCAGTCAGTGTGTTTAGAGTTTGATGATTTCTGAATCAATTAGAATAAAATGAAGAACTGTGTTGAACCATGCAGCATCAGAACACGGGCTGGGTCAGAACAGGGGTTGGGTCAGTCCAACCTGCGTTGCCTCTTGGTTCTGGCGGTCCAGCTCCTCCAGCTCAGACATCAGGGCGTCTCGCTCCTCGGTGGCCCTCAGCTGTTCTCTCCTCTGCAGCTCCATCACCTCCTCATGTTTAACCACACTTTGTTCTTCTGCTAGTTTCAGTCTTTGCTGCAGATCGAGCTGAGAACAGATAAACAGTTAAACATGTTGATGACACGAGGGGGCGACAAGTCGACCGACAACAGACCCTCAGATAAAAACAGCAACACATTCAGAGCGCTCCTCTGGTGAAGGACCTGACACATTCAATGGAATAAAAACACCTTTTCAAAGTCTTCTTCTCTTCAATCGGCAGGAGAAGAGTTTGTGGTGAAACCAACCTTTTCTTGTTCCAGAGCCTCCTTCTGCTGCTTCAGTGATCTGATGGAGGTGTTCAGTTCCAAGATGTCAGCGTGCTCCACCTCCTCCTCCGCCGTCTTATTACGAATCATTCAGAAATTAAAACGTAATGTTGAGTCATTACGACACATCAAAACGAACACATTTAAACTAATTCTTTCATTCAACCTTTATTTACAGTAGTCCTTCGCTCCTTCGCAGTTCGACTTTCGCGTTTTTTTTGTCAACTTTAATATTACTCACGTGGTTAGACAGTACGAGATAAAAAGTTAAAAAATAAATAAATATTTTGGACAGGTGCCGCCATTTTGTAGTTTCTTACAATAAGCCTACACTGCAAGGCCAAAGAACTACACTACCCAGAAGGCAACAGTGCTTCCTGCTGCTATTTTTTGCCGAAACAGAGGAAAGATTTTGACCCAATCCGAACCCACCTAAAAAGTTCGGTCTTTATTCAGTGACTTCGGCGCTCAGTGGATGCAAAGTCGATCAGAACCGGACCAGGACTACTGCCTCAGCGGTTAGTCTGAATTCTGCTCGCCGACCCAGGAAGCCTCTCGAGTGGCCGCAGAGAGCAGTATTTTGCAGTACATGCATGCATGTTGTTCAAATTACGCAGGTGTAAGAGTTTAGTACATTGCAAGAATGTGGGAAGAACAAAGTCCATGCTCAATAATCCAGGTATACAATCCAACATTTTTCAGTCAGGTCATCTGGACAGTTTCTTTTTTTGTGCTGAAACGTTTTGCCTTTGATCCAGAAGGCTTCATCTGTTTTGTGTTGTGCGTTTCCTTGACTGATGAAGCCTTCCGGATCGAAGGAGAAACGTTTCAGCACAAAAAAATAAACTGTTCAGATGACCTGACTGAAAAATGTTGGATTGTATACCTGGATTATTGAGCATGGACTTTGTTGTTTTCAACCAGTTTGACACGACTGTCAACAAGGAAGAGAGCCGGCAATGGAGGAGGGGGTGTGCCAAAGACACCATCTTAGCGCCAACATAACTGGTTTGTTCCAATTTGGAGTAAGCTGTTGGGGGAAGAATCAGTTTTGTGTTGTGTGTTTCCTTAACTGATGAAACCTTCTGGAAGGAAGGTGAAACGTTTCAGCAAAAAAAGAAACTGTCCAGATGACCCGTCTGAAAAATGTTGGAATGTGGGAAGAGTTTTTAAAGCCTTTATATATATATATATATATATATATATATATATATATATATCTCGTATTTTTCGTCCGATAAGTTGCAGTTTTTTGCATAATTTACATGCCCTGCAACGTATACGCCAAAGAAACATATTTTTAGATTTCTTCCCATATTTATAAACCAATTTTTGGCTGAGATATGACCGTTTTAATTCATTCTGACTGAAAATATTGAACAATACCATTTTTAGCCACTACATGGCACTCGAGTAGTATGGCACGCCGTTGTGTCATGTAATAGGTAAAAAGTGGCTATAATGACACAATCGGCTTGCCATAGCCTGTCACCTTCATCCAGCTCTCTTGGAGCAACAGTCAAATCAGCTTCATTTCGATGCTAATTTGACCATTGAAGTTAATTTCTTAAGTAAAAGTTCAACTGAGACACACCTTTGCTATAAGTCGAACAAACAAACAATTGTTTTAGGTGCTTATCTTGTTAAATTTTGAAGAAACAGACAATGAGTCACCCTCTGAGCGTTAATGTGGCTGTGTATCGGCTTTTGAAAATGCAGCTGATTTGACCGTCAAAGCGCATTTGTTAAGGAAAAGTTAAACTGAGACACATCTTTGCTACAATTTCGATCAAACAAATGATTGTTTTTAAGTGTTAATCTTGTTAAATTCTTGTTAAAGTCCTCCCGTGCACGCTCCCGCGGCCGCCATTTGGCAGAAAATCGATTTTTGGCACAACGGCGGCCCACATTTCTGGGTCGTCAGTGGTGACGCGTAACAGAAGCGACGTCTTTATGGATTTTTTCACTTTATTAGACATATTTGGACTGATGCGACTTATGGGGTGGAAAATACGGCACTTCATGGTTTTTCACCTATCGTGGGGGTGTGTGGAACGTACCCCCGTGATCATCGAGGGACTACTGTATACAGGTTAAAACATAAACATATAAACTTAAGTTTGATACTTGCCTCAGGAAGACTTCTCAATCTCTGCACTTCTTTTTCTGCATCTGAGAAAACAACAGCCTTTAGATATTACACACACACACACACACACACACACAGACACACACAGACACACACACAGACATGTATGACATCTACCTTCCAGTTTGGTGGTCAGCGTGTGGATGAGGCTCTCCAGCTGAGCTTTGTGCAGAGCCTTGCCCTCCTGCTCCTGCACTCTGGTCTGCAGTTCGCTCACAGACGCCTGCAGCCGGGCGTAGTTCTGCAGCAGCTCGCCGTTCTCCTCCTGGGCTTCGTCCCGCTCCTGCTGCAGGGAGGCCAGCTTCCTCTGGGCGTCCTCCAGCCTGGCCGACAGCTCTGCTGCGGCTTCACCCGACTGCACAGTGTGAAGGGTCAGCCCTGAAGAGGAGCTCGCTTGACCTCCGCCTGCACACAGTTATTTTAACGCCTTTAAGATTTGATGCTGAGCCGCTTCACAGCTCCATCTGCAGCTTCAGGAGCTAAAACTGAGACGATGAGTAGAACAGGTGACAAACGAGCTGAACACAACCTGGAATAAGGTAAAAACTCAATTAGCAGAACTGTCGTTACATTTAGCAACGTATGTGCTTATATTAGCAAAAGAGATGCTACTTATTAAACTGCACCTGAAAGTAGGCCCGTCACGATAACAAATTTTGCTGGGCGATTGTCTCAGAAATTATTGCGATAAATGATAATATTGTTTGAAATTTGACAATAATTAGTAATTATTGTCAAATTTAAGAATAAATGTTGAATTTTTGTGCGTAGTACCTTTTTTGACCACTGGATGGCAGTATAAGACTGTTTGAACTGACGTATGGATAGTGAGGGAGCGAGCAGCGCGTCTCTAAGAAAAACCGGAGGGAGGTGCCTTGACATGACATGGGCTGTCTCTCTTCGGTTCTCAACATGGCGGACGATCAGTGTGGTTTGAGCTTTTTAGCATAGCATTTGTCACAAAGCTTTTAATAAAAAAAATGTAAAAAAATCAGTAAACAAGTTCTCAGCTTCTTTTGCAGAGAAAAACAACTTTTCATACAAAGGCACAGGGTTCAACCGTGAATTTTGGAACTTCGACAAAACTTAGTTTTTTTCCCCCCCGAGGTCAGCCTGTTAGCTTAGCTCGTAGCTTAGCTGCTTTGAACGATCCAAAAACGCGATTTCAGACGGTTAAATGGATTTTAAAGAGAAAAGAGAAAGGGAGGAGTCAGTGAAGAACACCGGAGCTGAGCCTTTTGTCATCCAGTGTCTTCAGAAAGAGAGAGACACGAAGAAACGATAAAGCCGATAAATTAAAATGAAGTCGATAATTTTAATTTATCGTGCGATTAATTGATTTATCGTTTATCGCGACAGGCCTATCTGAAAGTAGCTAAATCTATCAAACCAGGTCAAATCAACAAAACTATGGCTAAGAGCTACATGTAGCGAAATAGTCAAAGGGAGCTACAAGACAAAAAGAGCCGACAGCTGAACGAGAACATTTTTGAAGGGATTGAAGAGATCTCCGTGTTCTTCTCCGGGGAACTTTATTCCAAAGTTAAATAAATTAAAAAGTAGAAAAGTTTACAAAAACAAAAGCCACAGAACATTTGAGTCGAGTGTTCTGGTCAATAAATGGTTAAAAAACACAAAGTGAGTCCTGAATAAAGAAAACTGAAGAGCTGCCTCAACGTTCACACGACTGACCTCCGTGGATTTGCTCCTCCAGCTCCTCGATCCGCTCCTCGTACTCCTTCAGCTCTTCTCTGTGGCGCCGGCTAAGTTCGGCCATCTTTTGTCTCTGAGCATCTTGAAGCGCCGCCAGCTCGTGCTGATGTTCATCCAGCTCCCGCCTCATCTCGTCTCGCAGCTCCTGTCCCAACAAAGTCAGAAGGTCCAGATCAGAGTCAGCACTGCCTGAGGAGACCGTGCACATCACACGTGCACTCTGATATCAGATATGCGAGACTGTGACGTCCACCTTGATGGTGTTTTGGAGTGTGAGGGTTTCTCCCTGGTCTCTGTTGGCAGCTCCTGTTGCTGTAGACGCCTGAAACACAAGGATGAGAACTTCAAGCTCAGTTCTTTAAACAGCACGAACGAGTCTGAGCTCCTCCAGTGCATTTTAAATCATAACGGGGTCCACGAACAAGACCCAGGAGGCTCCATGATGGACAGAACATGAAGACCCAGGAGG